TTTGAATTTACTATTGTATTCGTCGTTCAGTGCTTCCATGTAAGAAGTTAATCCTTTTCAGTATATGTAATATACAGGGCAACCCTGCACATGATTAGGCCATTACGGCAAAAAGAGGGAAGATGACACTGCGAGGCAATACATTTTAAAACGCGAAATTGAATCAACGCAGACATCAAAAGGCGCAGCCATAATGGAGACAATTGAGCTATAATGCAATAAAAATGTACTCTGGATAAATGACAACAACAAGCCGCACACTTACACTAAATAGCAATACAATACTCTCAATCATGGACATAAAAACACAGTAATCAACATTCAATTGGGTTGTATACATATGTTGTGCAACAAATGTTGCTGACATTGTTGCGAGGCAAATTGAAATGTGGCTAATGGCATGATAAGTACTGCAGCTGATGTGTGCGCCCATTCCGAATTCAATTTAACGCTTTTCAACGACAACGAACGCAGTTTATGCGTCCAACAACAACAACAATATTGACTTAAAAGCATAAAAGAAACAACAAATTTCTCGCTTGTGTATGTGAATGCCAGTGTGCAAACTGTATTAGGACACATTATTGTAATTATTATAATATTTTTATGAGGGCACTCACACAAACACTCAGGCACAGTCGCATGCCGAATACGTGTGAGACAAACAAATAAACGAAGGCGAGCGCATAACGCTCATTGAAATATGAGCGAGCAAATGAGTGAATGAAATGAGCACCGGATAAGGTGAGCGCAACGCGCCGAAACGGTGCTGGTAGATATGGTGGATGGCAAACGAGCACAGGGAGACGATATCGGCAACAGTAACAGCAATAACCATAGCAATAACAACAAGCGATGAATTGCTTTTACTAAATTGGGGAACGGGTACGAATGGCTAATGGTTGCAGATTATGGAGCATCGCGATGAGTTGAGTAGAACGATGGTAATAACACACTGCCAGCGCTAACGACACAATGACGATGAACACAACTATACAACAAAAGCAGCAACAACACCAACCGAAGCAAGCACAACACAGCAACACTCACAGCGATAATGTCGGCAGCGGCGGCAAGCAGCAATTGGCATGGCGTCGGCAGCGTCGATTGTGACGACGACCATAACAGTTTGGGTAAAATGTATCTAGATACTTAATTGCCACATTCAGTCGTTGTTAAATAGTTGCACGGCACAGTACGATTCCGATTCTATGCCATTGCTAACGACGCTACACATTTGATTGCTCGTTCGTTCGTTCGCTCGCTCGCTTATTGTCGACGCTTGAGCTTTTTATCGTCGTTGTTATTGATGATTGCCGCGTGCGCGTAAGTGGCAATAAGAACAACATAAAGCAAAGCAACAACAAGAAAACCAAAAAAAAAAAAGGTAACAATAGCAGCAACAATCAAAACACAGTAGTAAAAGTTAAAATCAGTTGAGTCGGTCAATTCGGCAGCCAAAGAGAGTGAATTCGACAGCAATATATTTAGTTAATTCGCTAACGCCAACAACATGGTTGATGTCAATATTGTGCACACATACATACATACTTGCGAGCGCGTGCTTGTGACTGTTTAGCGTCAGAAGTCTGCAAATCGAATGGAATTGCTGCAATGTGTTGGTGACAGTGCAAAGATGAAATCGTTGCCTAATGGCATGGCGCGCAAATTGAACGAAATAATTAAGTGCCCCAGCTATTTCAATTAAGTGTCGGTGTCGGTGCCGGTGCCAGTGTCGGTGTTGATGTCGTCACTGCATTTGCTGCCGCTACTTGTGCAGTTGTTGTTATCATTTGTTTCTCCAACTTTTGCGATTTCTCATACTCAGCACTTTGTCACACTACTCCACTCCGTTCTACGTATGGGGTCGCTCGGACGTTTGTGTGCTCCGAGCCATTGTGCGCACATGAGCAATTCAAATTAATCACTCATCAAGCGATTACTTCAAATAATACATACATACATAAATACATATATATACAGCGAAGTAGATATATATATATGTATGTGTGTGTTAGAGTTTATGCGTTTGCTAGTTTAACCTTCTTACTTGTGCGAGTATGACAAATGCGGGTTTTTAGCTTTTCGCTGTTTCGGCCCTTCACCATCGTTCGGTGTTTCTTGTGTTGTTATTGTTGTTGTAGCATCGTCTTCTGTATAATTTTTTGTTTTCTGGCCATTAATCGAGCGTATGAAACTCATTAGCATAATCTGACTAGCTAGACGACTTTTGCGCGGTTCGTTTCGGCTTTTGTTTGACATGTTTTTGTTTTTGTTGTTGTTTTCTGTTTCCGTTTCGATTTAAATGCTTATTTTTGTATTTCAGTTAATTGTTTTTGTGTTCATATATTGCATATTCTCACCGATTGCGTATTTTGCTTGTGCCATTAGTCTTATAATGTGAAATAGATGTTTTTTGTGTTTTTAATTTTAAGTATTTTGCTATGAATTGACATATACGACTGAATGCGAGACGAATGTACACAAACACTTTGTGTGTGTGTCAAAGTCAAATAAAGCACTCAAACATGAAATTAATACGAAAATAATGCGGTGTTAGATGTAAAAATAGAAAAGAATAAGTTGCGGTGGCAATAATTTAAATTAGCGAACAAAAATTGTGCATACATTTTTACAGTGCTTCGTTATTATGCGGATGTGTGTAGTTCTGATGTCTAATAGTTGAGTGAAATGTGTTTCCTGTATAAATAAGTGTAATACAAAGCTAATTACCAACTAACTCATTAAAGTTGAACTTATTAATCAAAAATTACGTGAATAGTTATTACTATTTTTTCAATTAAATTCACCCAGTGCGACTGTTAGATAAATAAAAGTATATAGCAGAGCTATAAATTATGTGATTATTATGACGAAAAAAAAAATTTATAATTTCATTTGCAATAAATTGGATAACGTTTCCGAGTATATGAATATAACTCAAAAAGTTTTATTATTTCTAAACGCTATAGTTATACATACATAAAACTGATTGTTTTTTTTTAATTATTATATTTATATTTTTTATTTATAAAAAACTCAGCCGAAATTCTTTAAAAAAAAAAAACAACGTGTTTTTCAGCTTTCGCAAAAGCTTCTTCAAAAAAAAATTATTCAAACACACTATTTGAGTATTTATCACCTCGGTAAAATCTCGCATTTGCCACTTAGCAGATAATTCCATTTAATTCAGATTTTAACGCAAACAGCTACGCCAAAAATAAAAACATAAAGATACGAGTCAAATTAACCAAATGCTCGTGTCATCGCTTACTACAATTACAATCAGCAGTACAGTGGATATACATATGTACCTATATAGCAACATACATACACATCTACATACATATGTATGTACATATATGTGTGCGCAAATAGTACATTGTACGCCACCCACCCATCCAATGAGCGACTACGTCAATGCCCCCTATGTGCAACTTAATCACATTTCAAATTAATTACATTCGAGCAAGTCTCTCTAGCAAAACCGAAGTGCGACAACTTAACGCCAAACCCACCCTCAAAGCAAATACAGTGGCAAAACGAAAATATACACAGATTAATTTACTGACACATCAATTTGGATATGTAGATATATGTACATAGTATGTATGTATGTGCACGCATTTGTGTATATAGAAAACACAACGTCAACGCTACTGTTGCCGCAGTCGCTATTTCGGCCTGTCATTTCGCTTAAATGACCAGTATTCGCAATTAAATCACCTTCATTGCTTTGTCATCAACGCCACTTAACCCATTATACGCAGCAAATAAAATACACAGCACATATAGAGTCATTAAGCATAACAGTGAGTTTATGGCACGCAATCACACTAACGCCAATTCAACTCACACATAGTACACACACAACAACAATAACAGCATACAAGTACAAGTAGGCATGAGGCCAACAACGACTGTTGCTCGGAAACGAACGAATGGCTTTGTTGAAGAGCGCGCGCGCACGCAGTTTCCAGTAGACAGTGAAGACTCATCGCAGCAGTTAAACGGGTGAAGGCATAATAAATAAATAAGTTTATAACAGTAGCTGGGTTAATAGCAGCCATTTCGACAGAAGCAGCAACAAAAATCGACGGCTGAAAGCAAAGCTCATAAACCTGGTCATTAGCGCTAAACATGCTGTTATTTGTTGTTGTTCCAGCGCTGTTATTTTAATTCACTTAAATTTATTTATTTATAGTGACAGGGAGTACCGTTCTCAACATTACAGTCGTCAACAAGCTACTATATGCCACCGTTAGCAACATATAATATTAAACTTAAAACTACGCCTATTTCCCAAATAACACCATCAACATCCATCTGATTACTTTACTTTCCACTATGCAAATCAAGCAAAAATGAACGTATCGAAATAAAACCTTGCACCAATAATGCCTTTAAAGTATGCCAACTTGTGACCACAATTTGTCTAAATCAAACCGAAACTCTTCAAGCCCCTAGGTACTGAATATGTGGACCCCAGTGCCTATAGTTGACTTTTTACTGAAAATATCGGTCAATGTGTAAGATACAATATATAAGTGAAATTTATTTAATAAAATAAATAATGAAAGTCTCGATAATAGTATGTTTTTGTGTTAAAAATGGGTTGAGTCGAGTCAATAATTCCTTTAATATAAAATATTGCCAACATCTAAAGTTATTTCCCGGGCTTTGATCCTTGCAAGTTCCGAGAGTATAAAATTTTCGGTTACACCCGGAACTTAGAACTTCCTTACTTGTTTTTATTTGTTAATATTATATATTGAAAAAACCCCATGATTGCCGGTTTAATTAAAATTAAAAAAAACTTTCGAAAATAGGTTATATATAAAGAAATTGTTTCTTTTTAAACACAGTGTTTAAGAGTTTATATTGCATATGATATCGTGAGAGATGATTCCACTACATTTTCGGATGTTTTTTTATTTAAAACTAGTTGGTAAAAGTTTCTATCTTTCAATTATAAAGGAGAAAAATCGGGCGATTGCAAATGACATGCTTTAAACTACTTCAACTAATTAATCCCAAATTATATCCTATAAAGTGTAGCAAATAAGACTCTGTTAAAGACTCTGAATAGGATCATTCCCATACCGATTTAGAGCACAAGTACTGTATGCGACATTTCTTGTAATAATTCTATTGTTTGCATTCTATCTCGAGAATAAAACAAAAGCAGCACAAAGCTACCCCAAAACACGATAAAGCTGTGCGATATAGGCTCGTATACATATCTACTTTAAAGTAGAGCTGTACATTATATCAATTCAACGTTTCTACACAAATGGTTATATATAACTCACACTCATATATGCAAACATATGTACAAATGTAGAAATTCATGAATATTTTGTTACAGTTACTTATTACTGAGTATGTGAACCCAAAATGCTACAAAGTACGTTTTCGTTGTCATTCCAATGGGTCCAGCACCCTCTCGGCTACAAAAGCTGGCGCTAAGCGCGTTTGAATTACTCCCAGTACGTAGTTAGCTGTACATGCCGCCGCTAATTGCATGCGCGTTAATTGATTGCAAGCAATCTGGCCACTTCCCTTCTCTGGCGCATTTCTGCCGGCTGCCCAACAACACCCCGCCCCTCACCTCCACACTTCCCACCAGTGCAGTACATGCGGCACTTGTCAAGCTATTGGCGAGCGCCACCATTATTGCAACAACAACAACTACAATCATCACATCGTATGTTGTGCTCGTATCAGTTGAATACAAGTATACAAACACAGATTCGTACACGTGTTTGTATGTGTATGGTGTTGCTAATGCTGCTGTCGCTTGCTGCCGTTTGAATGGCTCCGTTTGATCTCATTCGTTAGTTAAGCGCATTGGTGTGAAAAAGTGTATCGCACGGATACGCGATATTATTGTTGCCCGTTGATTGCTTCAGTGTCGGTTTCGTTTTGTTATTGTTAGTGCGCTGTTTTTCCTCCACTTCCACTTATTATGCTATAACCGCTGTTGGATTTTTTCGCGTATTGTGTTATTTTTCACACAAAGCTCAGCTCAGCACTGGCTGAACTTTAGTAAATAAATAAAGTGTGTGTGCTACGTTTGCATGTTGATGTGCGCGGCAGTAGTCACCAAACTGTTCCGTGATTGTGGCTACAAATTGCTGCCGGCGCCATTTAATTTTTGCGCTTGGAAAGTGTGAGTTTCGTTTTTTAGCGGAGTTCGTGTATGACATTGTGTTATTTAACTAAAGGAGAGCCGGCACTTTGGTTTAAAAACTGAATTTTACATAGTCGGCGCATTTGTCGTGCTAATTTAATCAGCCGTTTGTCGGTCATTTAGTTGTCGCTCTTAAGCTCAGGCGATATATAGATTGTAATTTATTTTTTGCATCTTAGCATCGCTACAAGTTCGCTAATTTGTCACTTTACGCATTGTTATTTCATTACGATTTGTAGTACAGTTGAAAAGCTATGAAAAATATATCTAATAAACTAAGATATATGAAAAGCCGACGGCAGTGCGTTAAGAGAAAAACCAAACACTGAGACCTTATGGGTTTTCACAAATGAATTAATTAGTAGTAATTATTGAATTATAATTAAAAGAGCTTATTAATAATAATTTGGAAAACATATAACTTTATAGTCAAGCTTTTATATTTAAATAGATGTGCAAAAAATTAGAAGTTACCGGGCGCAAAGCAGTTGTTGACTCTCGCAACTAAAAAAAAATTTTAAATATGCAAAGCATAGAACCCCAAGAAACAGTATCAGGGTAGATAACTGTTGTATACCCGTGCGTATGAGTAACCTGCATCTTAATTACATATATAAAGCAGTGGAGCAAAAAAGTTTTATGAAATAAAATGTGAATATGAATATAAATATATGAATGTAAATATATAATCAAAACAGCCTAACCGCTAACGGAATACAATGTAAATTGGAGTCAATTAACTTGGGAACATTGTTTTACATTTTAATTTTTACGAAAGCTAACAACTAAATACAACAGTAATTAACTTCACTAAACAAAGAAAGAGCCATAAATGTATCCGATCAGCAAAGCTAGTGTGCGTCTGTGTGTGTGCGTAACCACCAAATCGACAGTAAAAAGTTTACTAAAACAAAACATACGCTTGTAATAAAATACTTGTTTATGTGCTTGATTTTAATATCGAAATAAACACTTGCATATTAAATTACAAGCGATTACAATTAGTGAATAGTTTTGAAATGCGAAACAGTTGTTTAAAATACAATAAATGGGAAACTAATTACAGCATTCGATAAAAAACACAGCAGCAAACCAAACAAAAGTAAATAAAAACTCATTATAATAAAATAATAAAAATTTAAGTTTGTTTATGTGAAAATAAAATAGTGTAAATAAGTGACAGCCCAAACAGGACGGTTTAATTGGCAGGAAAAATGGGCAAACCAACAACAATTATAACAAAAATAATAATTTAATTTACGCAGCCACAAACGTCCCCGCTCGGAATCATGTTGTCAATTTTAATTAAGCAAAGTGTATTAATTCGCAGCTCGTTGCACTAATTAAGGATAATTATCTACAATAAAAATAAAAACAACAAGAAACTGTAGCATACATTGTCTAATAAAATTAACCCAAGGCGCCCATCGTGTAACAAAAATAAATTAGCAAGCGACAACTAAAATAAAAGTTCTGAAAAAAACAACAACGAAAGCAAATAACAATACAAAATCTATACTTACTTTGAAAACCTCACACAGTAACTACAAAAACATCGCAGAGCAGAGAAACAACGGCGCTCACTCTCACTCACTTCAAAGCCACTCATACAAATCCAAATCACGAAAGTAAGGATAATATGCATTCACAGGGCGCTTTACGTGGCGTAGCATGAGGGAGAGAGCCGCTGGCGTAGCTCATATAGTAGCAGGATACTCGACATTTGTGTGAACCTAAATTTTGTGTTAGTGCGCAGCACTTGTATAAAAAAACTTGACCTTTCACATTTCCTATATATGTGTGTGTACAAGTGTGTGTAAAAGTTCCAAATTTAGTGCCGCAATTATAGTGGAGAATGAACAGCAACAGCAACGTTGAATCACGTAAAGCACGACGCTCGTAAATGTCATCTGAAGTTTTTTTCTAGCTGTAAGCAGTACACTGAAAGTATAAGACAGGTAAGTGGGTATAAAGCGATCTAAATATTTTAATGTATTGATATATAATATGCTACCGTGACCTTATTTTAACTAAAACCTAACTAATAATGCGCTATTTTTCCTAGATATCTTATTTTGGTGTGATCTATTTACTTTATTATCCAAAATATTATTATTTAAATAAAAAAACACATGCAAAAACAACTTTCATATAATTTCACGAAATTTTACTTCCGTTGTTTTGTTAAATATTTTCAATGGCATAACTTGTTAAATTATAATGGTTGGTGAGGCTTTTTCTGTTCAAATTTTTTGATGAGGCTGATTGATGAAATAAATATTTTAGAAATCAAATTTAACACTGGAAAAATACAATTCTTATTGTACAACTTGATTGGATAAATACAATATTTAATTCCCCTCACCACATTTTCAGGAATAATTACTGTCTGCTCAAACCATGCTTATTGATTTTCTGTTGTTAGTGGCCGAACTCCCTTTGTATATTTACTATGAGAATTTGAAACTTTGACTACGCTTCCCAGAAATAAACATAAAATTTAATGAATATGCATTAAATTATATATAGATATACATTCATACATATTTCTCATATTTCTTTGCAACACATATTTACGTATGGAGGGAGATAAAAGTAAATAGTATACACTTAAAAAAAATAATTTAATTGCGCTCGAAATGAAAAAATACTCCAGCTGATCCAAAAGGCTGCAATAATATTCAGAGTTGATTGTTTTACCTTACTGCAGATAATCAATCAACAAAAATCCTTTTGCATCCCAAAAAACTGATGCCATAACCTTCTTTGTGGATCGTTGTGACTTCACCTGGTTTGGAGCTGAACAACCAGCTTCAGTCCACTGTAAACGTTCTTGTTTAAATTTAGAATCATGGTGGTATATTCAGGTCTGATCCATAGGTATAAAACGATGCAAGAAATCAATTTTATTATACTTAAAACGATCCAAATTATGCCGAGAAATTTGTTTTCGATCCAGTTTTAGTTGAATTTTTAACGGCACTAATTTTCCAAACAGCTTTTCCATATGTAATTCTCCATATAAAATATGAAGTATTCATTCGTCTGAGATGCCTATGGGATTAGCAATTTCACGCTGAATCAAACATGGATCTTCACTAACAATATTATAAACTTGCACATTGATTTATTTATTTCTGGTGTGGTTGCGGTGTCTGGTCGTCCTTCGTGTGGATCGTCTACAAGACTAGTACGGCCACGTTTAAACTCACCAGTCCAAAATTCAACGGTGGATTTTGAAGGTGAGGACTCCTTTTACACTTTTAACAATTTTTCATCAATTTCCTTTGCTTTTAAACTTTTAAAATAAAGAATCTAATCACTGCGCGATATTCAATTTTTTTCATATTAAAAAAACTTCTTCAAGTCAACTCAAATGGCTTGTAAACCAAGAATTAATTGACAGAATTACTTGTAACACACATGCAAAGTTCTCATGGCAGATGTACCAACTTGAGAAAAAAAAACTTTGAACTAGTAGTTTTTCGCCAAGAAACATGTCTACACAGTTTCATTAAGATATCTTAATTTTTACTCAAATTAAAGCTTGCACAGACAGACGGTCGGACGGAGAGACAGTCACCCGGATTTCAACTCGTCTCTGCATCCTGATAATTTATATGTATAGTATAACCTTATATTGATCTGGATTAGTTTTCGGTGATACAAACAACCGTTAGTTAAACCAAACTATTATACTCCACAGCAACATGTTGCAAGAGTATAAAAATATTGTAATTCAGAGGATAGGAATGAACCCATTAATATTTTTTATATTTATGAACTGGTATAGAATTTTGACTCCGTCGGCGGTGATGTGGCATTTTAAGAAAGTCAAATAAAAGATAAGGAATATAGAAAATTTCTTGAATTTATCCTTTTTATACAGACTACTATTAGAAAGAAACGTTATCTGAATTAATTAATATGCACCAAATGTGGTTGAAATTTGGTCGAGTAGTTTCTGAGGTATAAGTTTTCCCCTAAAGTTTAGCTGTGCTCGGTGGTTTTAGCGATTCCTATCCGACCCTTAAGCACCGTGTTAGCCGTGAAATTTAATACTTTTTACGTATCTATTCGGTGAGTTTCCCTTTTTTTATATTTTCCCTTTTTTATATTATACAATAAGTTTGGTTGATACAGCTTAAGTTGTTTGTAAGATATGTAGGTATGTACATTACACTTATTACCTCCCCTGTCACTCCCACTCTATAAAAAAATTTAGACTACAGATGCCCTTTTATACTTCGAAGCCTCCCTATATCTCAGAATCTTGATTTGTGACTTAATTATAGCCACAATTATAGTTAACGAGATTTGGTAGGCGTGGCAATGGTCCGATTCCACCCATCCGCAATACGAACCTCCTCAGGAATACATTCAAGTTTCATCAAGATATTTATGTTTTTACTTAAGTTATCGCTTGCACAAACAGACGGACGGATAGACAAATATCCAGAATTCAACTCGTCTCGTCATCCATAACTCTATTGCAAAAACGAATGATGAACTTTATTATTTTTATACACCATTGCAACATGTTGCGATAGTATAAAAAATATATTATGGTATATTCAATGGAAAATTTATTCGAAATAATTGTGAATTATTAGATTGGTATGATCCTTTTGGTACATTTAATGCTACTTTGTTTTTTTCCATTCTCAACCCACACTATAACATACTTAATTTCAAGTCTTTGATGATGTCTAATCTTTAAAATTTTAAATTTCCAATCGTTGCGTAAATTTGCGGATATTTATAGTTATAATTAGTATGCAAAAAATATAAATTATAATTTGTTTGTGTTTCCATAAATATGGTAAGCATTTATATGTATGTAGTTAGATTAAAATTAATTACTTGCTAACTCATAACCATATACAATGTATATTATTCATACATATATGGTATATATATTACGCAACAGCAATGAATTGAATTCCCGTAGCATAATAGTCGCTTTAGCTAAAATTAGCTTAGCCCATATTGGAAGCAGAATAGACGAAATTGAATGAATAGAAATATTAATTCTGAAATAATCGTATGAGCGCAAATAAATAGCCGCCGAGGAATATCAAAATGATTAGTGTGCAAGAATGCTTGGTCGCTTGCTAAGCGACAAATACCGGGTCTGTGCAGACACATCTGTACATACATATTTTCGTTGATCATTTGTTTTCTATTGCTGTCGCTAATAATAAATCTCATTATGTCGCTTTAATATGGCCAGCATGAATAGCGGAATTATTTGCTGAAAAATATTTAAATGGAAATAAATGTATTTATTTTCTGTTTATTTTGCATTACTTTTGCTGTCTTTGACTTTTTGTGCTTATTTTAAATACTTTAGCTCGCTTATCAGCGCTTTCATCGACGTTGGCATGCGCTTATGCGGCTAAAACGGCACTGTGCTACTCGCTGCGCCATGCGGTTTCACAAACAAACACTGTTTCCACTGTTTGGCATATTACATATTGTATTATTGTTGTAATATTTGCATGTATGTACATATGTATGTAAAAGTGTATGTATATATGACTGGGGCTAGCGCCTTCTCGTGCGCGCCACTGTACTTCTGTTCAGTCATACACTAATTAATCAGTGGCATTTGGTTTGTAGTGTGCGTAAGTAAGTTTTGTTTTTTGCTTTTGCCTCTCCTCCTCGTTCGCCGCCTCTAAGGCGCTGTTCCAATTAACTACCAATTAAGTGAGTGTGTTATTTATAAACACTTGTTTCCAAGTTATGAAGCTATTAAAGCAAAAATGCTCGTTTATACAATATGACTGGATCGATTGTATGTAAAAAAAAAAATACAATAACAACAAAAAGTGCTTGGAAGTGGTTGAGTAATCTCAGTAGTTTTTTTTTTATAAGTATAATTTGTTATTGTATAAATACGTGATTTTAAACGTAAAAGCTATGCTTTTATATATGTACATATGCATGTGTTTATATATGTGCCTAAGTGTTTATTAATCACTTTTAGTGGCATACAGACAACACTGCTTATAAATTTAAATAGCTTATTTCAAGTTTGAGATTTAAAATTTATAATAAATTATTTGTATTTCCGTTTGTAAGTGTATGTGTGTGAATGAGTACCATTGCCACATACTGAATATTAAATTGAGTAATCGATTCTGAAACTTTACCACTCATTAAAACTGATTAGATCAACTTTTTGCAGAAGAACGAAGAACAGAAAAAAAGAAAAACTTCCCACACACTTTGCTAAGATCTCAACTGAACAAATTTACCTATGACTTGAGTACAAAATAAAGTATCTTGATGAAACTTGCTACTTACATACATACACTTGGTACTGCGATGGGCGTAATCTTACCACTGCCACGCCTATAAAACGCTTTATTATACAAAAAAGTGTAAATTGGTACAGAGGATCGCAATGGCAAGACACACTATTGAGTTACAATTTATTAAAAGTGAACGTGACCTCGTCCCCTAAATAATTAAATGTAGACATCTTCCAAACCTCAAAAGCTAACTCAATTAAACTTGCTGAGAAGAAGTCTTTTTAGCACTTCGTCAAGCACTGTGCAAATGGGTACAAAAAAAAACGACGTCCACTTCCCTTATTACGGCTATGTTAAAAACTGTCACAGTTGCGGTAACTTACTGAATAAATACTCCGGAAACATTAAATTTCACAACCAATATAGTAGGAATGGATCCTATACCAGGTCTAAAGGTCTTGGGGAATGGGAGTGGTACCACCCACTTTGAGGTGAAATCCTATATCTGATGAAGTACTTGACCAATTTCAACCAAACTTGGTGCGTTAGGTAATCGAAACTTTTCTATTATACATTGTGAAAATGGAATATTAACTACGCCTACTTCCCTTATGACACAACTTGCATTTCTATCTGATTCTTTCACTTTCCTGTAAACAAAATGTAGATATTAATGAAATTAAGTGAGTCTGCAACCTATA